GCCCCTCGGAGTCTTTTGTGGTCAAGCCGTAGCGGTCGACATGGCAGTAGGCGGCCTCCACGGATCGTAGTTCAAGTTCTTACCAACAACACTTGCCAGGCTGGATTGCACAAAGCGCTTCAACCGCAGATCTGCCGCACACCCTGCGCTCCCTGTGGCGGTGTTTCGATGGCAAGGCCTGGGCAGCGCTTCGCGGTTGAGGAGGGTTCAGCGGTATCCATCATAAGAAGGGCATTCGGGAGAGAGCCGATCGCGCTTCGACTGTTCGGGAATCTGGATCCAAGTGGGGTGAAGGGTGCAGCTTCGCGTTGTCACATTGTGGGTTTGTGGCGGAGGTCAAGGTTACAACTGCTTGCAGGAAGCACTTCCACGCTTGTAGTCCGAGCCGAGGCCTTGGTGCAAACCGTAAAAACTCACAATGGACAATTGGCGATTACGGGAAGGAGGTGTTGTAATCATGCTCATGCCGCGGACGGCCTTCCTCTCTTGAAGTAGAGCCTTCTTCGTATCGGTTCGGCTCGAATCCCGCGCCCAAGCCTCCCTGAAACTTTCTTGATTTGCTGCTTTTCAATCAGCATTGCTTCACGTGAAGGTGTTTGCTGACGATCGGGACATCACGGTGGAGGATGCGACCGCCGAGGCCAGGGGTGCTTGCACTTGCGGCGACTACCTGCTACCTTTCAAACACCGGAGGTACCCCTGTGCAAGGTGATGTAGGGCACAACTGCAGTGCGAAGCTTCGCTCTAGTTGCAGCCCAAAGCTGCTCAGAAAGTGCATCTTGCATTTGCCTCTGAAAACTTCAATTCAGGTTTTCTGCGCTTCCGCAAATCTGGGTAGGGGGCAGCCACCAGTAGGGCAAGCTGCCTTTGAAGGTCACTAGGTATGAGCTTCGAGGATGAAGCAGAAGTTGGGAGCATCGAAATTTCAACCTGGGATAGTGAAGCCCAGGGACATTGGAAATGCGAGGAGTGCCTTGTTTCTATTCTTCCGGTGCTGACGCGGCCGTTATTTGACATCTGTTACGTCCCTCTTTGCCGCAACTAAGCGTTGCTTTGCAAGACTTGCCTAGCGTGAATCGCCTTCAGCCCGTCCATGGCCCAAATTTGCAGGCAGCTATAGCTGCAATGAGGGACCATCGTCCTCGAAGCCCGTATTTACTAGTCTCATCCGTGTCTTGCAAGACTTTTGCTGCTATCATGAGCACCGACTACTACTTTTTGACTTTACACCCTAAAGCCTACACCCCAACTCCTTTCATGAGCGTCGGCTATTACCATCCCGATTGAAGGCTAGGACTCACTACCGAAGC